CATTGTAGTCACAGGAGGAACTGGCATCACAGTCCAGCCTCAGGACTCTGCCCCAAACCAACCACGTGACGCTGTTCCCTTAACCCCCACTCTAACTTGGTCGCTCAGCCTAACTTGCTTCTCTAACTTGTATTACTAAGTATCAGGTTGTCTCTGCCTGGCAGGAAGCATTTTAGAGGCAGAGGGGGCGTCAGTTGCAGGGTCATTTGTCTCTGGCATATGTGTCTGTGTATGCTTTCCACACGGCCAAGCAGGCCTGACCTCTGACCCCTGGGTGGCATTCGCTCCCAGCCACCGCCCTGCCTTGGCTCATGGTTCTACTTTAATCTCTAGCTTTCATGTACTTTCTGTTTTAGAGTAAGGGCTCTAATGTGGAGTTCATAGGTCCACACCTCAAGGGATCATGATGTCTTTTAAATTGTAGGCAAAGATTTTGGCATTTCTGCTTAGAAGACCCTTAGCTTTCCTCACATTCTTCAAAGAGCCTTGTGATCCCTTAAAGAGTTAAGACATTATGCTAAGTGAAAAAGCCACTCACAAGGGGCAAATATCCTACAATTCCCCTTCTAGGAGGTACCTGGAATAGTCAGATTCATAGCAACAGAAAGAGTGGCAGTTGCCAGGGACTGAGGGGAATTAAGGAGAAAAGAGGAGCTAATGTGTAGATTAAGGGGTGGCGTTTCCGTTTGGGAAGATGAAAAAGTTCTGGAGATAGATGGTGGTGACGGCCGTACAATAGCATAAATATACTTAATTTCACAGAACTGTACACCGAACTGTACACCTCAAAGTAGTTAAAATGGTAAATTTTCTTTTATGTGTATTTTACCACACACACACACACAGAATGACTGGTCTGGGCAGCCTAAATATTTTGCTTTTAGCTGTTGTCTTCCCTTTGCAGGTTATGATTTAGAGTCCTCTCTCAAAACAGAATCAACTAAGCAATATGCAATCATGGAATAATGTTATTATATAAGGTACAGAAAATAAAATAGGGCCTTCTTTTAGAAACACCTGAATCAAAAGTGAAGTAATGTTTTAAATCCCCTCTCCTTTATGTTTTTTAAAGTTTCCAAGATAACCATGTTACTTTTACACACCCACGTGCGCACACACACATATGTACATATTTCTCTGTAGCACAGCAGAAACCAAGTCTTAGAATCAAGTGCAAAACCTGCTCTTCTGAACTGGGGACGTATCTATTCATCCTTCTTCCTTAGACAGTTGTGTCCAGAATGAGGTCATCTATTTTCCTCCCCTGCTCCAGGACCAGTTCATTCATATTATATTCATCCTACATGCCTACATGCTAGTTTTCTTGTCTGTATGTGTTCTTCAGAAATCCACTTTATTGGGTTTACTATCTAAGATGGCCTCTTAAATCCCTTGGGAAAGTCTCTTCTAAAGTGGAATGTTGCTTATGCTGACATGCATTGGAATGGAACCCAGAAAAATAAAGTGTTAATGGAATGGAGTGATAGAGTTTAGGGTGAATTTTTTTCCCCCTTGATTTATGCATAGTGTATAAACAAAAGAAACCTTGTCCTTATTTACAATGCTTCCATTTTTAATCCCAAGAATTATGTTGAATGACAAAACCCACTTTCTTCTTTTAATACCCCCAGGAAGATACACTGCTCGAAGTCAGGTGGTTCGAGTACACTTTAGATGGCTCAGGTTTCTTCCTATGGTTGTGGTCGGTGACTTCTTAAATGTCTTTAAGGGGAAAAAAATCATCCTGATCCTACTCTTGGGGTAACACTTTGAAGATCAATCCATCAGATCTTCTTTTCCCAGAATGGACCCAAGGGTAATGG